GCGGCGTCTCTGGATATCCACCACCACGTCCTTGCCCTTCAGCCTGAAGCTCACCTTGAAGGGGACAGCCAGCTGCAGCAAAAAGGAGCAGATCTGAGCAGCTGGGCAGGGAAAGTCCTCCTCACCCTCCCATGCTGATGTTCCAAGCCTTCCTGCCTTGGCTTCACCAGAGCCACACAGAGCAGGGACTCTTTTCCTTCAGGTACTGAGCCAGCAGGAGGTGAAAGGAAGGGACCATAAAAAGGGAAGCAGATTTTGATGCCTGGTTAAAACAAGACCAAAATTTGGAAAACTACAGTTCCTGGGAATTCTACTGAGTTACAAAGTTCTCTCCCAGCTATTGAAACACTGCTGTTTCCAACAAACTTCCAGAGGCAACTGGGACACAGGGAATTGGCTTCCCCTCTTAGCAGCACCTGCAGTAAGAGCAGAACTCCCTGTCTCAGAGTCCTCAGATCCTGGTCATGAAGCACTACTTACATCCAGTTCTGAAAGAGTCTGTGTCCATCTATAATTTGGAAGGTCAGCTCCATTGCCAGAGTTGGGCTTAAGTTTTCCTTTATCCTTCTCATCCTCCTCTTCATCATCTGTCCCCTAAGCAATCCAAGATAAAGAAAGAAGCTTTTCCAGTTTCCATTGTTAACTCTTAGGTTTTATAGGTCAGTTGTTTGTATTTTATATCCCCTTAAATTTAGCTCCATAATTAAAAAATAATTCTGGTAAAACATGACTACAAGAAAAAACCCATAAGCCCTCTGTACTGGCACATTTAGGAATTAGCTGTGCATTTTTAAAGCCAAATTGTCTAATTTGTATTTTCAACGTGTGTATTTTGGCCAGGGCTTGGAGCTACCTGGTGTGCTGGAAGGTGCCATGGCAGAGGGTGGAACGGGATGAGCTTTAAGGTCCTTTCCAACCCAAACCATTTTATGCACCTGAAGTATCTCCAGACGAGTTTTACCTGTTTGTTGGAATCTGAAGATTCACCTTCCTCCTCCGAGGGTTTCACTGCGACACTGTTACCCTGCCCTTGTGCCTCTTTCTTCTGTTTGAAAAGAGAAGAGAGGAACACGCTCAGCCGGGAGCTGGCACTTTGTGTCACCTCCCGAGCTGGCACTAGATGGCCTCAGCCCTTCAGCTCCAGCTGAAGAGCACCACTCACTGCATCCCACTTTGAAAACAGGGAATCTTCAGCCCTTAGAAAAGCTGCAGCAAAGAGGCACTGCAAGGGCAAGATCCTGGACAAAGGACAAGCCTGAGCCACTCTACCCCCTCCAGCCGCAGGGAGCACAAAGCTGCACCCGTGGGTACCTGAGAGGCTCTCACCTGGTTGATTTCCAGCTGCAGCCTCTCTGCCTCCTCCTCGGTGAGCTCCTTGATGCGAGGCTCGCCGGGCTGGGGGCAGCCCCTGTCCTGCTGGCGCTGGCTGGCCAGGCGCGCGGCGCGCTCGGCCTTCTCGCGCCGCTCGGCCTCCTGCCGCGCCTTCTTCTCCCGGCGCTCCTTCTGAGCCAGCTTGTTGTGGTGGCTGAAGGCCTCTGTGATCAGCTGGGGGACAGGGCAACACGGGTTAAACAGCACCCTTCACACCCAAAGCAGGCAGCTCGCTCTCCTGAGCAGCACAGGGTGTGGATCTGCTGTGTCCCTGGAGGTCTGGAGACCCAACTGGGCACCAGCACCAGCTCGGTCTCCTGAGCAGCACAGGGTGTGGATCTGCTGTGTCCCTGGAGGTCTGGAGACCCAACTGGGCACCAGGGGATGTCCAGTTGTTGGACATCCACTTGGATGGTGGCTGAAGGCCTCTGTGATCAGCTGGGGGACAGGGCAACACGGGTTAAACAGCACCCTTCACACCCAAGCCCAGCCAGCTCGGTCACAGAACGTGTGCTGAGTCACACAGATGTGACTTCATCTTCACTCAATTTTTGTGACTGCAAATCTAGAGATTTTTCAATTCAAAAAACAGAGGAGGAAGTGAAAAGGGAGGAAAAATAGAAGATTTGAAATATTTAAATGTAGTCCTTCCTAGTTACACAGGGAGTATGTTTCCAGGAGAGAACAGTGAAATAAAAATGCTCCACTAATTTTGTCCTTTGTGCAATCCCAGCAGGATGAGCTGATGCCCAGCCCAGCCATCTGAAGCTACTCCACACCTCCAGGACAGCTGGCCACACCAGATCCAACTCCTTTCCCTACTTCTGACCTTCCCCACACCTGGGCTTTTCTCCAGATGGAGCCTCAGTGCCAGCACTTAGAGGAGAAATGCTTGAATCACTTGTTTTTACACTGAGGGGTGAGCTCCTCCACGAATCTTTTGTTCCAGCCCTGCTCCCAATCCTCTGAAGGCTGTTGTGACTCTGGGAGGCAAAATCCCAAGGTCTCTGATGGCAAGGGCCGCGTGCTCAGGGGAAAGCTGAGTACACAGGCAGGGAGCCAGAGAATTGCCCCAGGCTCGATAAGGCCAGGGGTGCTGTGCACAGCAGCACGTAGGTGAGCTGAGGTCTGCCCCAGAAAACAACAGAGGCAGACCCTCAGGAAGGAATCAGAGGGGAAACATTTATTTTTTTATATATATCCCAGGAGCTTCAGGGTGGGGGGAAATCCAGAAGCTTTTCCAAGCAAGCTGTAGTTTGTAAGCAAGCACTGAGTGTTTCTGCTTGGCTTTGTGAATAAAGGTTGTTTACACAGCTCCAGTCTCCTGGAGTACAGAATGCAAGATGTGCATCCCCCAGGATGTCCCAGCCTGCTCCCAACCCCATGATCCAGGGTGAGGAAACCACCTTCAGTGCCTGAGCTTGTCCCTGTCACTGCCCACACCACGAGCCTGCTGACACGGCCCCCAAAACAGGCAGTGACTTTCCCACCCTCTCCTTTCTCTTCCATGGCCCAGCAGGGCTGGGGAGCAGCTCCTTCCCCGTCTGTTGTGGCTCCCGTGGTGCCAGGGCACTTTTCCAGGAGCCCAAAAAGCACTCTGACAGATGCCACCACACTTTTCTTCCACAGGCACAGAACTGCCCAGGACAGCAGCCAGGCACCTCTGAGGTGGGATCACACAGCCTCCAGCAACGGGGGAGATCTGCTCTCTATTCCAACAAAAACGACAGCAGCGTTCACCTCTCTCTCTTCTTTCAGAGAGAAAGGATGTTTGGGTTGAAAGGACCTTGAACCCCTGCAGTTCCAGCAAGGGCTCCCTGCAGGACAGGGGATGCTCTGCCCAGGCTCCCCAGCCCAGCCAAGGGGCAGCTGCATGTGCAGAGCCCTGGACTTTGTGTTTTTCCTGGCCTGAACAAACAAGCTAACGGGGGTTATCACCTGCTGTGTCACCAGTAAGTCAGTGTGTCTGGCAGGTTTGCTTTCCAAACTAGCCTTTGGCCACAGCCTGGCAAGAAACCTGCACTGAGGTGCCATCCCAGCAGGGAATTGGGTGCTCCTCACCTGACAGGGGCAGCTCTGGGTCTCCTTCCCTCGGGAGCTGCTGGTGCCCACGTGCACCCAGATGCTGGGAGCTGTTCAAGCAGGGAACCCCTGGCATGGCACAGACACGGGTGGGATGGAAGGGGGGAGAGCTAAAGGCCTGGAGGTTTATTTTTTACCTTCTCTGCTACTCCGTCCTCTCCCCCGGTGAAGAAATCTGTCTTCCTCCTCAGGAAGCTGAAGAAGGTGTTCACGAGCTGGGGAACAGGGTGGAGAGACAAGGAGCAGTGAGCCCAGGTCACTGAAGGCCACCTCGTGTCCCTGGAGCAGCCTTTATCCTTTGTCCTCCCTATCTGAGGCTGTGCCAGCAGTGCCCTGGAATGAGCCCCGTGAGCTGAGCAGAGCTGAGCAGAGCTGAGCAGAGGCAGCCCTGCATTCCCTGCACAGAGGGCTTGCTGTGCTTTGCTTGAAGGCAGCAGCTTATTCCCAGCTCCTGCTCCCCCAGCCCAGGCTGCTGTCCCAGGCAGGAAAGGGTTTATGCATGCCTACATACCCACATCCATATATCTATATATATATGTATACATACACACATAGCTTTGCACATCTGCAAACTCCTTATTTTTACAGCTGCCAGGGACCACCGATGCATGAAGCACACCCCCAAACCCCCTCTGGAAGCCCACATTCTCCTTGAGTTTGGCCAGTCTTTATTTCCCGGGAATCCTGTCCCCTGGGGGTTCCACTCCGAGGTTCTGCACCACGTGAGGGGCTGTCACAGAACCTTTTTTAAAAATTATCTCTGACTGGGATGTGGGTGGGATGTTGTTCCCACACGCCCCGGCCCTGCTGCAGGTCAGTGCCGGGATCCCGGAGCCGCCAGCCGGTGGCACCGGGGATGCACCGGGCTGGGTGAGCAGATCCCGAGCACGGGGGATCACGGCCAGGCCTCGCGGGGCTGCGCTGGGAGGGGGAACGGGGCAGCTCCACGCTGCCCTGCGGTGCTTTGCCCCGCTGTGACCCATCACGGGCGCTGCCGCGCTCCCGGAGCCCTCCCGGGGCACCGGGGCCGGGCTGCGAGGCCTCATTAACACCGCACTAATTAACGAGCGGGCTGGCGCTGCCGGGGGCCGTTACCGCCGCTCCGGGAGCGGCGCACGTGCGTGCCCCGCTCCACGTGCCGGGGCGGGGCCCGAGGAGGCCGGGCCGCTCCCCGCTCGCTCCTCCGCTCCTGCCCCGCCCTCCCCGCGCCCGATGCCGGCGGCGCTACCTCGCGCACGCCGCCCTGGTGCTGCTGGGCCATGGCGAGCAGCATCCCGTCGAAGCGGTCCTCCTGCTCCGCCGCCTCCTCCGCGCTCAGCCCCATCGCGCCGCCGCTCCCGCACCGGGCCGCCACCGGAACCGGAACCGGCGGCCGCGGAAGCGCGAGTCCCTCCCCGCCCGCCAATCCCTGCGCGCCCCCGCGCCGTCCTCTTCGCTGATTGGCCGAGACGACTGTCAATCTTGCAGGAAAGGGCGGGCCGCGAGGCGCGGCGGGGTTGTTATGGCGACGGGCCGGGCGGGCCGCGATGCCCGGGGGGTGGAAAGGGCCCGGGCCGGGCCTGGCCCCTCCGGCCGGGGAGCCGGGAGCCAGCAGGGCCCCCTGAGCCTCCTTTTCTCCAGCCTCAGCCCCCCTGCTCCCTCAGCCGCTCCTGGGCTCCACCCCTTCCCAGCTCCGTTCCCCTCCCTGGACGCCTCCATGTCTGTCTTGCAGCGAGGGGCCCAAACCGGGCCCGGGGCTTGCGTGCGGTGCCACCTGAACAACCACTGCCCACTTTGGCTCGTGTTCAGCTGCTGTCGACCAGCATCTCTGGCTTCCTTTCCACTGGGAAAATACGAGGATTTTGGCCTTTTTTCCTTGCTTTTCCCTAATTCTGCAAATGGGAGCATTTTCCGTGCGTTTCCTCCGAGAGACGCGACCCCCGCGCCCATCACAGCCTGCCGGTTCAGCGGGTTCCTCTTCCTGCACCACAACAAGAGGCTCCCGAGCAAGGCCAGGCAAACAGCTGCTGATAACACGACTTCCAGGTTGCTCTTCCCAAGGCCGGGCGCCGGGGCCGTTGAACGCCGGGCCCAGACGAGCGCCCCGTGTTTGTCTGTGAACCCTGGCAGCGACAGCTGCCCGATGGGGCCTTGGTGCCATGGTACAGCCTGGGCTAATGACTCTGTTTATCCTGTTTGGGTAATCCTGATAAGGCCACACAACCCCTCCCCGCGGATTCATTGAGAAAAACGGCCGTTGACCGCGCCGGGAACTCGCCTGGCCCGGCCAATCAGCCCAGCAACAACGGGGTTGGTCGGGCGGTTTTAATGAGGCTGCTTAATCAGGGCGGTCAAGGCTGCGCAGGGGTGTTCACTGTGACCCGGCCTTATAAGAGCTGGCTGGAGCAGCCACGGGCTGGCAGAGCCGCCAGGACGGGGACAATCCCTCCCGTGACACATTTTGGAAGGGACTTTGTGTCTCTGCCCCGCCGCCGGCTGCGTTTCGAGGAGGAGCTGGCCCGGCCATGAGCGCCAGCGTGGACGCGGGCTGTGAGAGGTGCCAGTGCCACGGCAGTGCCAGGCAGCCTGCCATCCTGTACACCCTGCTGAGCCAGGAGCTGCGGCCCGGCGGGGCCCGGCAGCGCTGCCCGTGCCGCCAGCGCCGCACCGTGTGCCTGCGCACGCCGCAGCTCACCTGCCGCGCCGCCTCCCACGTGCTGCTCAAAACCATCAGCTTCGTCAGAAACGTCGCTGCCTTCCAGCTGCTGCCGCGGGAGGATCAGCTGCTGCTGCTGGACGGCTGCTGGGTGCCCCTGTTCCTGCTGGGGCTGGTGCAGGAGATGGTGACCTTCGAGGTGATGGAGGCCCCGGCCCCCAGCATGCTCAAGAAGATCCTCCTCAGCGGCCAGAGCAAAGGGCAGGAGCCCGAGGGGACGCAGCCCACGCTGGCGGCCGTGCAGCGGCTGCAGTGGTGCCTCAACAGCTTCTGGAGGCTGGACCTGAGCCCCAGCGAGTTCACCTACCTGAGGGGAGCCATTCTCTTCAGTCCAGGTGAGTGCCAGGCCCTCGTGGCTCTGCTGGCACAGAATCATGGCATCCCAGAGCCACTGAGGTGGGAAAAGATCCCCAAGGCCGTGGAGTGCACCCTGTGCCACTCCCCACCTTGTCACCAGCCCAGAGCACTGTGCCATGTCCAGGGATCACCTTCCCAGGTGAACACAGACCTGGTGGCCTGGAGATGCTCAGAGATGGGCAGGTGTGAGAGCAGAGACGGTTGGCCACCTTTTCCCTAGCTCTGGTCATTCCCAAATGCACTGGGTAGCAGGAAGGGAGGATGTCAAAAAGGATGTCTCACACTTTGCCCGCCGTGCAGACAATAAATCCTGCGTTCCTTTGCTTTTAAAGCATGATTTTCCCTGTTATCAAGTGCTTTCCCTCCTCACACAGCATCCCTGAGCAGCCGTGCCTCAGCAGCGCTGCGCGCACCTCCCGAGTGTGACCTCAGAGATCCCCTCTGAAAAACGGGGAAGGGTGGCAATGGGAGAACCCGGGAGCTGCTTCCCATCCTCACCTTCCTCTCCCTGTGCTGTCCCCCGCAGACACCCCCGGGCTGAGGGCTGCCCTGCACATCGAGAGCCTGCAGTGGGAGGCGCAGCGGGCGCTGCGGGAGCTGCAGCAGCCCGAGCAGCAGGCTCGCTTCTCGCACATCCTGCGCCTCACCTCCTCGCTGCGATCCATCCCCGCCGCCCTGGTCACCGCTCTGTTCTTCCAGCCCGTCATCGGGGACGCGGCCATGGGCGAGCTGCTGGCCGAGATGCTGTTCGAGGTGACGGGCTGGCCGCGGGGCTGGCCCCTGCCCTGCTGAGCGGCACCCGGGGCAGGAACGGACCCTGCGGGACTTCGGTGTGCCACCGGGCAGGAACGGACCCTGCGGGATCCCGGTGTGCCACCGGGCAGGAACGGACCCTGCGGGATCCCGGTGTGCCACCGGGCAGGAACGGACCCTGAGGGATCTCGGTGTGCCACCGGGCAAGAATGGACCCTGCGGGATTCCTGTGCCACCGGGCAGGAACGGACCCTGCGGGATCCCGGTGTGCCACCGGGCAGGAACGGACCCCGCGGGATCCCTGTGTTTCACCGGGCAGGAACGGACCCTGAGGGATCTCGGTGTGCCACCGGGCAGGAACGGACCCCGCGGGACCCCGGTGTGCCACCGGCACGGCAGCTGTGGCTCGGCACGTTCGCAGCAGCTCCTGGGCTGGTCTGCAGCCCGGGGAGTGTCAGTGGACAGACGGTTTGCTGCCCTGCTGCCAGTTCTTACTCGTTTTGCTGCGAGCTCCGAGCAGTGAGGGTTGTCCTCAGCTTGAGGCCGTGGTGTCTGATCACTGACTGAGGGCTGACTGTGGAATTAGCTCTGGGTCTGGCTCCCGTGCTTGGAATCTTAGAAATACTCAGGACATTTCTTCAGGGGAAAAGCCAGAGTGTTAAATCCTACAGGGTGTACAGACTCACCCCTCTTTTCCTTAGATTCTCTCTTTCCTCCATAATTCCATGAAGTACAACAGGATTAAGAGCACTTAGCAGCTCCTAAACCTACTGCACCTCCTTTGGGGCTCTGGGCTCTCCTGTCTGAAAAGTTAAACCTGAGCAGAGCTGGTTTAGTGGAGATCCAAACCTCCCTCCCTGGAGATGGAGCCAGGTGCACACCTGGAAAACTCGCTCCTCCTGCCTCCAGCAGGTGAGGTGTCAGTATTTTGTAAGTGTACATTCACGTGGTTTGTATATAAGATGCAATAAATTATTTTTTTAATAAAATGTTTGGTGTTTTGGAACACGGTGGTGCCTTTTTAGCAACGGTGCTGAATTTGGGGTGGGCAGAAAAAACTGCAGGCATGGAAAAGACAGACTGGAATAAAAAGAGACTTTCCATAAAGATCCATCTGCCGTGCAGACAGGTTGGCTGCTGCCAGTGGGAGTGTTGGATGAGCAGCCCCTGGGTGCTCCCAGCACGCAGAAATTCCGGGGGTAAATCCCCACTGCGCCTTTCCCCAGGTGTGAATGCAGGTGCTGAGCCTCTCCCGTGGGCGCTGCCAGCTGCCGTGCCTCAGCCAGGGCACAAACCCCATCTCCTGGCTGGCACAGCTGAGTGTGTGCCCGCCCGTGCCCACGGGACAGCGGGAATGTGACACAGACATTGTGCCTGCCCTCCCCGCTGCTCCCGGCCCGGGACCACCTCTGCCACCGAGCCCACGGCGGCCACAGGGCTCCCGGGGACAGGGGACAGGGAGCGGGGACACCAGAGCCCTGGCGTGGGGTGGGCACGGCAGCCCGGAGACCCCTGAGACCCCGGGGGCTGTGACCCCAGAGCCTGTGACCCCCAAGGCTGTGACCCTCAGACCCCTGAGACCCCCGGGGCTGTGACCCCCGAGGCTGTGACCCCAGAGCCCTGAGACCACGGGGGCTGTGACCCCAGAGCCCTGAGACCCCCAAAGGCTGTGACCCCAGAGTCTGTGACCCCAGGGGCTGTGACCCCAGAGCCCTGAGACCCCCGAGGCTGTGACCCCAGAGTCTGTGACCCCAGAGCCCTGAGACCCCCGGGGGCCTGGCCAAGCCCTGCTGCCCCCCGGGCCTGTTAAACCCCCCACAATGGGGGATCTTGGTCCCCAGCCCCTGTGATCCCCCCCTCCCCAAAGTTCCTGTCTCCCCTGTGACCCCCAGGGTCTCTCTGTCCCCTGTGACCCCCCAGGGTCTCTGTCCCCTGTGACCCCCCAGAGTCTCTGTCCCCTGTGACCCCCAGGGTCTCTGTCCCCTGTGACCCCCAAGGTCTCTCTGTCCCCTGTGACCCCCAGGGTCTCTGTCCCCACCCCCTGTGACCCCCAGGACGCCCCGTCTGCCGCGCGCTCCCCCGCCACCAGGCGACGCCCTCCACCGGCCGCGCGTAACGTCATCATCGCGCGTAACGTCATCACCGCGCGACAAGATGGCGGCGCCCAGCGGTACCGGCGGCGATGGCGGCTCGGCCCGGTACTGCCTGGTGAGCGGCATCCCGGCCTCGCTCCGCTCCGCGCATCTCCGCGCCTACTTCAGCCAGTTCCTGGAGGCCGGCGGCTTCCTCTGCTTCCACTACCGGCACCGCCCCGAGCGCCCGCCAGCGGGCGGCGGCGGCGGGGCCTCGGCGCCGCGCACCTGCTCCTGCCCGGTGGCCGTGCGGCCCGGCCGGGCCCGCCGCTTCGTCCGCATGTACTCGGGCAAGCGCTGGGTCGGGCCCGGCGGCGCCGCGCTGCCCGGCCGCTGCCTCATCCGCAGGGTCCGCCTGAGCCCCGGGACAGGTACGGGCGGGGTCCGAACGGCACCGAGGGGCACGGGCTGGTGAAACCCCTGGCGGGGCTTCCTTAGCGCTCTCGGTCTGCTCCGAGGCGGAAAGAGCCCGTGTGGGCTCTGCTTATCCCCCTCCGACTCGTGAGCGCCTGGATTTACCCATCCCCGGGGGGGTGTGGGACCCCCCAAACCATCCCTGCTCTCCTGTGGGCCCCCAAAACTATCCCTGCCCTCTTGCAGGCTCCCCAAAACCATCCCTGCTCTCCTGTGGGCCCCCAAAACCATCCCGTGTCCCCTGCAGGCTCCCCAAAACCATCTCTGCTCTCCTGCGAGCCCCCAGACCCATCCCTGAGTGTCTGCGGGCCCCCAAAACCCTCCCTGGTCCCCTGCAGGCTCCCCAAAACCATCCCTGCTCTCCTGTGGGCCCCCAAAACTATCCCAGCTCTCCTGTGGGACCCCCCCAAAACCATCCCTGCTCTCCTACGAGCCCCCAGACCCATCCCTGAGTGTCTGCGGGCCCCCAAAACCCTCCCTGGTCCCCTGCAGGCTCCCCAAAACCATCCCTGCTCTCCTGTGGGCCCCCAAACCCTCCCTGCTGTCCTGCCCCCAACCCCTCCCTTGTCCCCTGCAGGCCCCCCGAACCCTCCCTTCTTTCCTGTGGGCCCCCAAAACCATCCTTTCTCCCCCGTGCCCCCACCCCTGCCTTGTCCCCGCAGAGGCTCCTCCCGGCAGCCAGGACGGGGCTGGCACCGCCTCTGTCACCGAGGCGGAGCTGAAGCGGCTGCCCGAGTTCAACCCGCCCTCCTTCATGCCCTGCGGGAACGTGGGCACCCCCCTGGGCGTGTTCCTGGAGCTGATCCGGGCCTGCAGGCTGCCCCCCCGTGTCATCAGCAAGCTGCAGCTGGATTTTCCCAGGACGGGCTCCTCCCGCAGGTATGGCAACGTGCCCTTCCAGTACCCCAGCACCGAGACCGTGCCCGGGGCCGGAACAGTCTACACGGCTGCAGGGGATGAGATCACCGAGGGAGAGGAGCCCGTGGGGCTGACTCAGCCAGCCCAGCCCCAGGAGGATGAGGAGGGGCAGGAGCAGGAGGAAGAGGAGTCGAACTCGGGTGACGTAAGTGGAACATTCCAGCGCCGTCCGGGCAGGGCTGCCGGAGCTGAGGGCACATCCCCTCTCAGAGCTCGTTTTTCATCTCTCACTTGGACAAATGCTTGTTAAAACCAGCTTTAGAATAGGATTGTTCACCCCTCGGGGCTGAGCCCCCCAGAAGTGCTCGGGGTGGTGGCAGGGGTTGGTCCCAAGGGCTCTGATCCCAGGAGGAGCTGCCCAGCACACGCTGCCCTGCTGCCTGGCACAGGGATATCCTGCCTCCCAGCTCTGCTTTGCTGGGATTTGGGCTGGCAGGGCTTGGGGACCACGTCTGTGTGCTGGGATGACGTGCAGAGCTGCACAAAGGGCTGACCTTGGATGCTCCTGCACTGGGGGTTTAGTCACTCTGGGGAAAATGGCTTTGGTGACAAAGGCTCCTGGAGAACTGGGCAGGGCGGGAGCCATCCCACCTCTGTCCCTGGCAGATGCCTGTCTGGCCTGTTCTCCCAAACCTCTGTCATCCCAGATCCCCAGGCAAGCCATTCCCGTTCTCTCCTGCACCAGAATTAACTCAGGTGCCAAATCTCTGCTGCAATTGCACCCCATTCGTCTCTCCTGGCAGCGTGGGCCACAGAGAGCGCTTTGTTCCCTCCTTTTCCCAGCTTTTCACTCAGCCTTTCCTTCTCCAGACTAAACAGACTCCTCCAGCTGTTTCTCCCAGGCAGTTTCCTGCTCTGCAGCCATTCTTTTGGCTGGGTAGTGGCTGTGCCCAGGACTGGGCGGGCAGCTCTGTGGCCGTGCCAGGGAGCTGCTTCCTGGGAGCCCACGCAATCTCCCGGGGGATCAGCTGCAGTGGAATGAATTCCTGCTGCTGCTGAGTGCAGGTCCAACACACCTGCTCCTTACATGGGCATCGGGAGGGCCGGGGTGGGGGTGCTGTGGGATTGCTGCTGCTGACTCTGGCAGGGCTCTGAGTCAGCCATGAGCTCATCCCTCCTGTCGGGGCCTGAGCACAGCTGCTGCAGGGGAGGGCGTTGGCAAGGGCCAGGCAGTACGAGGGGCTGAGCTGCTGCCCTGTCCCCAGCTGCAGCCCAGATTGTCCTTGCAGGACAGTGACACGTGTGAGGAGTGGCAGGGGGCTGTGCTGTGTCCCCAGCTCCAGGCCATGCTGTTCTGTGTCCCAGCCCCATCCCCTGCACGCTGTGTCCCCTCAGGACGATGACACGTGTGAGGAGGGGGCTGTGCTGTGTCCCAGCCCCGCTGTGTCCCCTCAGGACGATGACACGTGTGAGGAGGGGGCTGTGCTGTGTCCCAGCCCCATCCCAGCCCCTGCTGTGTCCCCTCAGGACGATGACACGTGTGAGGAGGGGGCTGTGCTGCTGCTGAGGCCCATCCCAGCCCCTGCTGTGTCCCCTCAGGCGATGACACGTGCGAGGAGTGGCAGCGGCACGCGGCGCTGCACGAGGACGTGACGCAGCAGGAGCGGGCGCGGGAGCGGCTCTTCGAGGAGGAGATCGAGCTCAAGTGGGAGAAGGGCGGCTCCGGCCTCGTGTTCTACACGGATGCCCAGTTCT